GGATGGTTCCTGGAGTAGCTGTCCAGTTTGTACCTGTAAATTTAAATTAAAAGTTCCTTGAAGTAAAAGTGTTTATGCAGTCTTATAGAGACACAGCAGAAACTTCAGATAAAAAGATCATTCTTCAGTTCTGATTTATAGTTGAGTTTTCTTCAGTTCTAATTTTTAAAATAATTTTGTTTATGAAGCTGAGGCCTACCTCATCTTCAGACTTTTTGCTGTACTAAAGTAAATTTGTCTGTTCTTTATTTAAGCTTTGGTATTGTTAAAATATGTCAGTCTTCAAGTTTTTAAAATACAAAGAACCTTTAGGTTCCTCTCCTTTTCTCCAAAAGTGTCTTGGAGGTGTCATATAGTCAGAAGTTTGACTGGAAAATACACTTAATTTATATGTAATTCATGTAGGCCCAGATTTAGTGTTGAACTCTCAGCTGTGTCATTTTCGTCCCATTTTCTTGCTGGTTAGTAAGCATGCTGTGTGTTTCTCTTGATAGCTGCAGAAAAAGGAAAAGCTGAGAGAGCTTTCCTTGCAGAGTGTCACTGTGCTTCCTGATGATTACTAGATATCTAAGTTTTCACTGGGCGTGTAGAATTGAGGACAACATTCCTTGGCTGAGTATTGTGGTGGGGAAACTGGTACAGTTGACTGGGTCCGGGGTATGGAAGGGGACACCAGAACTCAGAAAACACCAGCAAACCTATTCTGGTTGCAGTTTGACAAAGCATGAATTTCTTGACAAGTAGAGGAAGCAGGAGGAGAGGAAGGAGAGTACAGGAGGCATTTTACCTTTTTTTCCTGCTTTAGTGGCTTTAGGCTGCTTTCTGGCTAGAACATGTTCCACAGTTTTATCACAACGCTTTAGATAGGTGTACTCCATGCTAAAGAGCTGCTTTAAATTATCAGTGTTGTGTCCCATACCAAGCAACTGAAAAATATTAGCTCTTCCTAGAGTGGAATAAATTCTTTCAACAACCTAAGTTAAAGTGAATGCAAATCCATGGGAATTTCAATTTGTTGGAGTTTATATAAAAAGGAGTGGAAGGAAGAAGGGAAGAATGGCAGTCTTAGTATGAATTGTATGCAGCTAGCATACAATGTATCATGTTTCTTCTTTCTGGTTAGATTTGCATGCATAGGGCAAAAAGTTAAAAAGTAGTATAATATACTAAGTTTGCAGCCTTGTTCTTATTGACCAACCGGAGTAGCTGTTTCTTGTATTGAATTCACCTCTAACTTTTCTGTTGTAACAGCAAAGTATTCTGTTTACCCACTGAGTAACTTCTTCATTGTAGTTTGAAAGGTTCTTGAATTAGAAGGCACGTCTAAAATCTAAATAATGTGCCACATGTAGAGGACCATTGTTGACTAGCACATTATAATAATCTGCAGGAGTGGTTTGCATTATTTTGTTGGAAGTTGAGGCTCCTAGATCACAGATAATTTAACCTCCCTTTCTTTTATCTTTTCAAGGAGACTACATACATCCATGGCTGTAACTCACCAGATATATATATGTATACTCCATTCAACTCACAGTTTTTTTTTAAAGGGAGAAGTTAATTATGAGCCTAAGCTTGATCCAGTTCAGACTTTGTTTCCATGCATTTCCTACTTTCCAAACTCTAGTCTGCAAACCACTTAGCCCAGAACTTGTCTGATTCATGCAAGTTAGTAAGACTGAACAGCTTCACTCTAGATAATGTAGGTTTAACAGTACAGGTGTTATATACAAACAATTTCCTAATGAGACTGGGAACTGGAGAGTCAGTGAATGTATTAATCAGTGTCATTCACTTAAGCAATTAGATATTTCCAGTAGAGCTGAAGTTACTGAAATAAAATATTTGAATTCACACCTCTTTTTGCCTTGGACCAGCATTGTGTGTTTGGATGGTTGAAATTGGCAAGCATGATGCAGGCCTTTCAAACTTGATACCGATTCTCTTTATTGCAATGCAGAAGTTAGTTAAAATCCATGAAATTCTGACGATTCTTTTTGCTGTTCAGTTTAATGTGGGGCTTTATAAGAAAAACAGCCCCTTTCCTGTGGTAGCTGTGGGGTGCAGCACTCCTTCTTTCTTGCCTGTTCCAAAATAATGGATGTTTTTCCTGGAGTGCAAGTCATAGTACTAAGCTGGGCATCTCACTTTATTTGAAGAAGGATATGCAAAAGAATTTAACTGTGTTTAAAGAGGTTATATATGTACGTAAAGTGTGTCAATTGAAGGGCATTATTCTCTACCCTGTCTGATACCAGTAATGGTGAAGGGATGCCTGATCTGATGTTTCATGTATGCCTGCTGTGTTTTGGTGGTGCCTTCACTTTGGTGGTGTCTCAGCATAAATTGAGGCTACTCTTTTGTCACCCGGCTATTAGAAGCTGTGAAAACCAACTGGCTGTTACAAAGTGCCCTTTTACTTGCACATCATGGAAATTGCTTTGGATTGTGGGAGAGAGGAAGTTCAAAAGGGGATTAGGCTTGAGAAAATGATGGGCATTAGACCTCACAGTTGCATCTCCTGAACACAGTGGCAAGGAAGTGCGTTTGGGAATGCACTGTGGGCAGTGGCCCGCCTGCTGCATTCTGCTCCTTATGTAGGAGTCTTGAAGGCATTTTCCCCACTCTGTCAGCTTTGTAGAGATAATTCTTCAGTTAGAATTAAAGCTTTGGTTGTAGTAGCCCTTGGATATGCTAGCCCTGGAGTGCAGTTGGTCTTGGTTTGGTCTGAAATTCCGTGCAAATTTGGGGATATGAAGGTAGTTTAACGGAGTTTGTATCTACTCCCTGCAGTCGGTGCAATGCAAATTGGCTTTTGTTCCTTTCAGTCCTCGGGTATCTTTAACCGTTAAAGAGCAATTGAAAAGTCTTTGACACAGACTAGAGAGCTGCTGAGGTCATCTTTTGAGATTCTTACTCTGATCTTCCTTGCAGGTAGGTGAAGTGTGATTAACCTGTCTTCAGGTTTGTCTCGGTGCAATCTAGCAGAAAGAAAATACTTTAAAAACATAACTCAGGTATTAAAAACTGTTTTTATATTTTATGTGTATAAATACAAAAAATATTTCTAAGATCAGAGAAGTCCTACAGGACTTTTCTGACCATTGAACTCAACATTATAGATTGCACTGTCATGAAGCAGAGCCTTTAGCTGGTAGTCTGCTGTGTCATTGTCTTCAGATCTGTTACCTCTGTACTATCAATGCTGTCTTTGATGTAAACGCTTTTCCAAAGACAACTTTTGGTGAGGCTGTTGGTGAGGTCAGTCAGCTCACTGCTGCAAAGCACCCAGGATGTGGTAATGCTTTCACTTCTTGCAGTTAGGGATTGTGTCTTATATCTTGTTATTGTACTGTAGGGTATTAGTTGACTGAAAATGAAACAGATATGTCATAAAGGCCATGAATAATCCTGTTAAGAGAAAAAAAAAAATAAAGGAAAACATTGGCATATTATCTGCTAACTGCAGAACAGATTGGTTGGTTGTCTGCAGAACAGTTGAGTTTGACTGAAAAATGTAGATAAAATCCAAGCTAGGTGTTTTTTTTGTTTGGTTTTTTTTTGTTTGTTTGTTTGTTTTTTCCACGTGAGTTTTTTTTTTTTTTTTTTTTTTTTTTTTTTTTGGTAATGTGGATATTGTTAGAATTGAAGCTATGGCATCATGAAAACTGATGAGATGCCCAGGTGTCTTATGTTGCATTAACTAACTGGAAGCTCTGCTACTGGATCTATGTTGCTACTGCTAGTATCTGCTATAACTAGAACAAAGTCAGCTTATCATTGTGATGGCGTATGTGATTACGGTTCGTGAAAAGCCTATCTGTAAAGTATATAATGTAGCCTGTAATGCAAGGTCGACATTTATGAATTTTAATTTGTTAGGGAGTAAGTCTTAGGAATTTAACCTCTGGAAATTCCTTTCATTATCCACGTGTGGATGCCTGAAAGAAGTTTATACGTGTTTGTTGTAATTTGGCTGAACTTAACTATTTTTTGTTGCCTATTTTCTTATTTTAAACCAGTTCAAAAGGTTGTATGTTGCATCAGTTCTGCCTCTGGTGTAATGGTCAGAAAGATACCAAGCTTTACCTTTAACACTGTGTTCTCCTGAGTTTTGTAGTTTGCTTTTGAGCTTGAACTGATTCCAGTTCAAGAAAATATGTGGAGTGCTTGTAGTGAAACACTTGTGGTTTGCATAAGTCTAAATCAAGTGGGAGGGGACCACTTGAATATTTTGAACAGTTCAAAACAGCTTCTTTTTTTTCCCTTTTCACCTTGAAACTTCAACAGTGTGGTGATTTCTTCTTTGCCTTCCCTTCCTACAAAAAATACACAGTATGATCATGCATTACTTTTGTTCAAGCCAGTACAATGACTCCTACAGCAAAATAATATTTTTTTCTGAAGTGGTAAGTCAGAAAGAAATTCTGAAAAATATTTTCATATATTCTTTGGACAGAAGTCTCAGGACTGGGGTAAGCCTTTGTAGGGGAGTACTGTCCCTTTTATTCCTAAGCATAAAGAAACTTGTGTAGAAACATTAAGCAGGCAGAAATTCCATTACAAGAAAACTGGACACAATTAAAACTTTGACCTTGGAATTTTCTTCTTTTATTCTTAATGTATTGCTGGAATAAGGCTGCTGGTTTGTGGTTATCCAGGGTGCTGAAAATGTTCTGTAGTACAGTATATAAACTTGAATTGTGTAGCTTCTCCTCATTTTCATATGTGCATATGTACTTTACTGCATTTGTTTGTTTTGGATTGATGAGCTAGCTGTAATTTTATTCTGTTTAAAATTCTTAAAAAAATATATGTGAAGACGTTGGCACACTTGTAAAATGCCTCTCTGATGCTTGTTCTGTTATCAAACCTAGCTGTTTGGCAACTAAATCTTACAGAAAAGATTTGCTAAAAGTTTAAATTTACTTCTATTTTTAGTCTTCACAGAAATTGGGTTATCATTTATTTTTTGTCTCCCTTCCCTCCTTGTTTTCCAGGTAGTATTGGTACAGCGTTTCAATGCCACTCAATCCATCAAGATCACATTTGTACTGATGACAGTGACAAGGTGAGATTTATGTGAATGTTTCATTCACAAGATGAATATGCATTGCAGGGTTTTTATATACTGGTTTTTACTACACAAAGATATATTGTTTTGCAGATATAGAAGTCAGTTTTCAGAGTTACTTTTTGAACTGTCTCTATTATAGTAAGATATATCTTTTTCTCCAGACAATCTTTTAGACAGTTAATGAGAAATTTGTCTTCAGTACTGTATTTTTATTTTCGCTTGTATTCCTTTGCCATATTGACACACCAAGTTAATAAATAACAGCAATGGCTTTGCCAATTTCTAGATAAGGTAGGATGTCTTGTTTCTTCTGACTTTAGAGATTAGAGCCTAGCTAAGTGTTCAAAGTTTTTTTTTCTTTTTTTTTTTTCACAGTAGCCATATTTTCCTGGTTTTGAATTGGGAATTGAAGCTTTTACATATTATGACTTATTGTTCAGTGGTGCATCTTCAATATAGCAACCTGTCTAATCATGTGTGTGTGTTTCCCTAACCCTTTTTGGCATATTTGCAGATTAGTTTGCTTGGGGGTCAGTAGAATACTGCGTATTAAATGTTCAACAATACTTGGATCACTACTGTAATTGTGGCATACAGAAAGGAGTAGTTTTGACACTGAACTGCTGGTGAGACTGGCTGTTGATGGTTTTACCTTAAGCTTTATTGTCTGTAAATACTGCAAATTGATTAACTTTAGTTCAGCATGTGTCTTACATTGCATGCAAGTATGACACGTCATAGTAAACTAACTTACTGGCTTGACGTGTGGAAAGGGGTGGGTATTGGTCAAATTCAAAATAATTTTTCCTAGGAAATGACATGCAACCTGTGTAGCACTGCCTTAATCATTGTGCTTTGAAACTCTGGAATAAGTTAATTTTATAGTTGTTCCAGCTCATCCTAGAGCTAGAGTTGTTTTCAGAAAGAGCTGCTTTTACTGATCTACTGCTTTAGTATTTTTTTTTCCTCTCTCACTCTCCTACCTCTAGTTTTATGGGGAGTTTTTTGTAAGTTTCTTTGTTTTGTTTTGTGGGGGTTTTAGGGATTTTTTTTGGGCGGGGGGGGGGGGGGGGGGGTGTTTATTTTTAGGTACCACCCTAGATTTGGTTACTTGTTCATCCTCCAGATACTGATCATACATGCTACCTAGAGCATGGCTAACATTTTTTTTAAGTTTCCACTTGATTATCTGGTTATCTGTATTCAACAACATTCAATGCTTTGGGTTTTGGGGCTTGTGTGCTCTGCACTGGAAGATTCTTGGGTGAGGAACGGGTGGGGGAAATTTCATTTCAGAGCCATCCTAATGCACCAACCTAACCATTTTGCTTTTGTGAGTCATTACATGGAAGATCATTTCTTGTGATACATTGATTGTCTTACCTTGGTTTTATTTCATATCAAGGCAATTAAAAGTGGCTTAAATCTTGTTGGGAAATCTGTTAGTTACATGCTTCACTGGTTTGGGGGCAGGGGAATAGGAAGGGGTCTGGCAGCTTACCTGGTATAAATTTCAGAAGAGTGGTTGTTTGGCACACCACCTGCCTCCATATTAATAGAGGAATTGAGCCAAATGTGGCCAGATGTTATTTTTTACATATTTAGAGATGGTGTAAGAAAACAGTCTTTCTCCTTAGAGTTGATTCTGCACCAACTGAGAAAGAACTTCCAACTGTAAATTTTAGTTAAGTAGAACTAGTATAAAAAGCAGAAAATATATGTTTTGGGTCTGTTTAAGAGACATGTTTTTCCCTCAGGTGTCAGGTTTATTTGGTGAGGGTTTTGACTTTTCTGTAAGAATACGTGAAGCTGGATTTTATAGGAAATTCTAGTTGATTCCTTGATTAAAAAAACACGTTTGGAAAAACAATGAACCGTCCTCTTGTCCAGGTCTCTCTGGATGGCATCCTGAGTGTCAACCACATTACTCATCTTGGTGTCATCTGCAAATTTGATGAGGGTTCACTCGATCCTTTCATCTGTTTCATTAATAAAAGTATTGAATAGCACTGGTCATGATATAGATCCCTGTGGGACACAACTTGTCACTGATCTCCATTGGGAGTCTGAGCTTTTGGCCACTGCCCTCTGGGGTGAGGTTTGTTGGGTTTTTTCCAAAAGATTTGTGTATATGGATAGATTTTTTTTTAAATCATAAGTAATGCTTCCCAAAAGTAGTCTGTGCTAGGGTACAGTTGTAATCCACTCTCATTCCTTGCTTGTATTCACATATGCCTACATTCTCGTATTAGTTTTGGTCACAGTTTCCACTGTGGATTACTTTGAAAATCAGCTTCTGATTTATTCTGCTATTACTTAGAGATACGACCTGTTCATTTTGGTATTAATATAATTTAAATGATACTAAATGCTAGACATAATTGATTTATCTACAGATTTATTAATTTTTGGGCCTTTTTTGTATTCCTTCTAGAAACTTTATGAAAAGCATGCATTTAAAATAGTTTGACATACCTTTGATTAGTCAATAGGCATATTTCAGCAAAATAATTTACTACTTTTTGCCTGGTTGCGCAGAACTGGTTCTTGCATTTTAGAAGAAATGTAAAGATTAGTATTTGACTGGCAATCCACATGTTTTACAGTAGTTTCTCCACAAGCCCAGATGCCATTTTCTGGACAACAGCATGAGAAAAGTTCCACACCACACATGCTAAAGGAATGTTGCAATCTTAATGAAAACAATTCCCAGGCTTGCACCCCAATTTATTGATGTTTTTACTTGGCACATGTGAATCTTGAATTGATGTTCAGTGACACCAGCAGGAAACCAGAGTTAAGATTTTTCATGTGTGGACTTATAGCATTAAGAGGGATGTGCCATTGTTGAGAGCATTACTGGCAGTACTAAGAACTTGTCTAATTTTGTAGCGCCAAAAGCAGTGCTTCGTGTATTACAGAGAAATCTAATATAGCTTAGGTATAAAATACATTTCCCATTTTACTTGGTGTAGTAAAGTGAATAGAATTGAGATTTATTTAAAAATAATTGTTGTGTTGGTGGTGGGAGCTTTTAAACCTCAGTGTGTGAGTCAGGGCACTGGTTTTTTCATGTTTGTAATTTCCTTGATTTTTGCTTTAAAGTATAAACATGAAATAAAGTAACTGCATTTAGGGCAAGATATTTGTAAGAAGGAATTGGTATTCCTTAGTATATTACTTTAAAGTTCAAGCAGTGGATTTGTACTAGGGTTAGTGATATATCTCTGTATGCTTTGCAAGTATATCATCCTGCAGAGCCTTTCAATCATACCAGGATTATTTAGCTTTTAAAATACTTTTTTGTCCCTTGCGTGGCTGTTTCACCAGTGGTATGCTTCTGTTAAAGAATGCTAACTCATCTTGAAAATAAAGTCCAAACATGCAAACCTTAACTACCCTTGCAACATCTCTTTTCACAGATCTCATGAAGTTACCTATTCCGTGCAGTTAAAAAACAAATTGGTCACCTAGTAGTAATGACAAAAAATAAATCACTGTGGAATTTTTTCCAGGGAAATTTCCAGGGAAAAAATCTCCTGCAATTTTTTTTACTAGTATTAAGGGGTTGGTAATTATACTTTGCTTTTCTCCTTTTTAGTTTATTTTCATTTATTTTACTTTCACAGTATTTAAAGAATTTATCTTCTTTTTCCTTTTTGATACTTATGACTCAAATACATAGCTACATAATTTATTTTACTATTTCCTTTAAATTTCCCACCTATAGTTGGTAAGTTTTCCACACACATTTTGTGTCACCTGCTCAAGGTGATCCTGCCTTGACAGTGGAATTGGGTAGGATGATCTCCAGAAGTCCCTTCTAACCCTAACAATCCTGTGCCTGTCTTAACGACATTATCACGGACATCAGGTACTCAGTCTGTAATACACAGGCCGGCCAACTCATTAAAAAGAGTTTAAGAGTTTTAAGAGTTCACAAGAAGATAAGTATTTTTAAGTTCTAATCCTAAAGTAAAAATTAGCAGCTTTGTGTTCCACTTTGGATGGTGCAGTGTCTGGTAGCATAAGCCTATGAAATTCACATATAGCTGAACAAAAAGTGATTCACAAATTCAGGTATTTGAAGGACCCATCACATTTCTTTATAATAACGTATTGTATAGCACTACATGCCCCTCTTGTAGGGAATGTGTCAGAGGCAGTACATAGAAAAATGGGAATATTAGGAGGAATTTCTTTTGTACCCTCCAGTTTCAAAACTGGAAAATCCTCTTGTCCACTTAGGACAGGTCACATTCATTCTTCATGGCGTGTATTGTTGTCACATCCGCACACCCACAACTCTTAGTCCCAGTTCATTCTGTCTTATGTTTATTGAACAGCTTTACGCCTTTTTCCTTTCTCCTCTGGCAGCTATAAGGACGTCATTTACCAATTTTCAACCACTTTTGTGCCAAGGGAGTCATCTCCTTTAGAACGTTAATTCTGTATAACTACAGCAGATGTTTTTTTGTTTTCCTGGATCGCAGTTGGGAAAAACTTTAATTACGCTGAGGTAGAGAGTGCAGGGAGGTTGGAAGCGTGAGAAGTAAGGCGCTAGTATGTTATTTGAGGGGAACAGGTCGAGTAAATCAGTTCTGTGAGGCTCCGTTTGCTGCCTTTGCTGATCAGGGCTGCGTCCCCAGCCCGTTCCCGTGTGGCACCGTAAGCAGAAGGCAGATCCTGCTTCTCCAGTGACTCTCCAAAGGGGCTTAGAGGCAGGTGAGGGTCGGTCTCCGCAGTCGACAGAACGAGAGGACGTGGTCTCGAGCTGCGGCAGGGAGGCTGGGGTTGGACGTGAGGAAGGATTTCTTCCGCGGGTGCCCACACACTGGGACGGGCTGCCCGGGGCGCCGCTGGAGTGGCCGTCGCGGAAGGTGTTTAAGGAAGGATTGGACACCCGGTGCCACGGTGTGGTTGACAAGACGAAGATCGGCCCCGGCTGGCCCGGGATCCCGGAGATCTCTCCCGACGCCGTCCGCTCCCCGATCCTGTGAAACCGAAACTAAACCGGGGCTGGGCCGGGGGGGCCGTGCCGTCAGCGCGGCGCGCAGGCGCATTGGGCCCGCGGCCGCAGCCGGGCGCAGACAAAGGACGCCTGGCACCGGGCGTGGTGTGACGTCACCGGTCCGGTGAGTGACGTCACCGGCCCGGGGGGCGGGGGCCGCGCTCCCGGAAGCGCTGGCGGAAGGGTCGGGCCCGGCCCGGGGCGGCCGCGGCGGCCCCGAGGCTGAGGCGGGGCCGCAGGTACCGGCGCGGGGGGCGGTGGCGCGGGGCGGGGCCTCCCCGGCGCCGCCTGGTGCCCGCGGCTCGTCAGCCGCGGAGGGAAGGGGCGATGTCGCCGTGCAGGTAGAGGGTGGCGGAGGCCGTGTGGCCCGGGCCGACGGGGAGCCCGAGCTCCTAACACGTGAGCGCCCCGCGAGGTGCCCGAGAGCCGGGGAAGGGATGTAATTGTCTGATATTGTTAAAGTTGCTTTATCTGCTTCGGCAAAAGGCATAACTGGAACCCGGGAATTAACAGACTTACCAGGATGGAATTGCTGCGTGCTGTCTTCAAGACAGGCGGGTTCATGTGCAAGGCGGTAGCAAGTGTTTCTGAAGCACTGAACGTCCTCCCATCCGTATAGTGAAATGACGCCTCTAGGTATCTGTAATCCCCTTAAATTAATCGAAAGAACAGCTGTTTAAGGAAACACTGATTTAGCAAGCATACATGTTAGGGCATTCGGTATTTTTTAGTAAAGAGCAAAAACGGGATTTCTTCTTTTTTATGCTTGAATTGTAAAATTACATCTTGTTTTCTTAAGAAGTGTATTTTTAAACTGCCTGTGCATTGAGATTTTAACTGAGGACACCCATTTGGAATTGCAATGTTTAGAGCAGGTAGTTTAGTTATTACTCACACAGATGTTCATTGAACTGGAAGTCATGGCCATGTTTATGCATGTATAGCATTTGGCTTTTGAGAGAGATTTTTGAGGGTGGTATTTGAAGCAGACCCGCATTTTCTGATAACTTCTTCATATGTAGTGTGGGGCAACCAGAATGGGCAGATGAGCAGCATTAATAGAAGTTTGCAATATTCAAGTACTGAATACAATTGCATTACAATTTGATTTGGTGTTGCTTATGATGTGCTTGTTCTAAAATGTCATTCACTGAAGAAACTGCTTTGGTTTCATTTGTCATCTTTATGGTATTTATCCACATCCCAGGGATCTTGCTGTTTGCTGACCCAACAGACTCCTTAGCTGCTTTGCAGCATTATATTACATCACCTTCTTACCTTCAAGGAGGTATTGTGGCTGTGGTATTAGAAACTCACTGTTCTCAGAGAGGAAAAAACTCCTTTTGGATACTAATGTGTACAGTAAGAGAAAGGAGGGTGCAGTCATTAGACAATTAAGTCCAAGATAGAAGAGCAAATGGATTCTGTGGCAGGTTTCATGGCTAGTGATCATTCATAATGTTTTTGATCTTCCTTAATCACTATATCTCTGGGAAAAAATGAAATATATGCACACATAGAATAACATGTGAAGAAAGTTTTCAGGGAATTGCTCCTTGGAATTATACTGCTTGTGAAAAATGTCATTTGTGAAAAATTGTATGTAAATAAAATGGGTCTTGAAAAGTACAGGTTTCATGATCTCCTTTGTGAATCTTACTTTGTTATCTCATGGACTTACAGAGTAGGTTAAACTTCATTTGATTCTTATCTGGTTCACTTTGTGATTTTATTTTTTTTTAGTTAACCAAAGTATAATAAATACTGAATTGAAGTTGCATGTTGTTAAGTTCTTGCTTTGTATTTGCACTGGTGTGGAAGTCACAGTATATAATTGTCTTCTGAAATACAAGGACTTGGCTCAGAAGCTGGTATTAGTTGAATCAGTTAGTGTTGTGATTTGTCAAGTTTATGTGTCAGCTTTTCTAAATATGTTTTTTTTAAATACAGCTTATTGATGTTAAGAGATAAATGTTATGATTTAAAGTGGACTGTTGAGGAAGTCAAGTTATTTTTTTGACTCTTTGCTAAAATGTCTTTAAGAGTTGTGATGGCTTTTATGCAACGTTTTGCTAAAATATAAAAATTGTGTGGTTAGGAAGGGAAGTTACTTCTTCAGATCTACCTGCTATTGAATGGTATCTTGTACTGTGAAACTGTGGTCTTGTTGTAAGTCAAATACGTCATACATGTTTGTTTGTAGAGACTACATGGACTGAATTACTGGGGATCTAATGAGAATTTGTGCAGACCAGGTCTTTGAGTTACAAAGTTCTCAAAGTAGTCTTTGTGTGTAGGTTTACCATCCCCACCTTACTTCAGAAGGATTTGAAAGGATATAGGGAAATAAGGGTAGAGGAAAGATATAGAACTTTTTTCCTATTTTTAGTTAGAAAGATGTTTTGATTTTGGAGGAGTGATTCTTAAAACTTGTGTAAGATACAGGCATGACTTAATCAGTTGATATGGAAGTAGAACTCACTGTTTCCTTCTCTATATAAGAATTGATATCAAGTTAAATTATCTAATACAGAATATTTAAATAGTGCCGTGGGCAGAACTTGATGAGGTCTGTGATTTAACAAATGGTTTTCTTTTTTTTTTTACTCTTCAGCTTCTTACGGGAGCTGGTAGGTTCCTCTTTTATTAAACTCTTTAAAGATAAGGAAACTTGTTTTGCTTTTTGGTGCCCTCTACTGATGCCTGTTTGTCAGAACATTGAAAACTGGTGCTGATTTGGGCCTTTAATAGCACTGAATGCTAACAACAGCTGCTCTTTGAAAGCAGCCGGAAGGGGAGAGAGAGGAAAAAGCCATTTTACACCTCGAGTATTTTGCTGTTTGCCTTCCAACCAGTCTGACTGGATTGCATTGGAACGGTACCTCACCTAAAAGTAAAAAAGTAGGTAAGCAGCATATATCAGACTTGTGTACTATGTTCTGTTGGCATTGTAGCAATAAAAAGACTGATGAATCCTTTGCTTTTCTCCTCTCAGGAAAATAGGGACATTCTTTCTTCAATGTATGCAGTTCCTGGTTCTCAGTAAATACATTCCAGGTTTGATGTCTCAGAATTTATCTTCTTGTTTATTTTCAATAATTTTGCTTTTTTTGTATTTCCCACTAGTACCTCAGATACTACAAAAAGTAATCAGTGCTTTGTGTGAGCACCATTGCATAGGCTGTGCTGTGCTTACCTTCTGTTTAAGTAGCTCTTTCATCTCATCAGTCTTGCAGTTTTGTTCCTGTGCAAAATCTGTGAACACCTCTGTCCTAGAAAAACTCAGTCAGCTACATTCTCTCTGCAGAACCTCTTACCTTAGCTTTGTAGTCTGTCTTCGCCAGCTTTGTTAATTTCTGAGAGAAGTGGCCAATTTTATTTTTTTTTTTGTCACATTGCAGTAACTGTAAATTGTGTGAGAAGGGATGAGAATATTCATGGCACAGTTTATGGTGCTGCTGAGCAGATGCTGTCTGGCAGTCTTCATGAAAGCTTTCGGAGATGGCTTTCCAGACAGAAATTCAGGACTTCTCTTCCTTATTCAGGCGACCTTATTAGATGACCTGTTGGGACTGTTCTTTAAAAAAATTATGGTGTGATGAATATTTTTGATGAGCTGCATTTTCAAAATCTAATTCTTGGAAGTTAATCTCTTGCAAAGAGATTTAAGACTGTTTTGTTCGCAAGTACTGAAGGAGGGCATTTTTGATCTGTCTTCTGTTTTTGTGTCTTGATAAAACATCAGAACTGAATACAGAGCAGGATGGGAGATGAAGAGATGGGAGACATAAAATACTAGAAAATTCATTTAAAATGGTGTTTTGGAAGCACTTGTGAAGCCAAGCGAGTTCCAGGTGGATGTGTATGGCTTTGAGAAAAACATTCAGGTATGGGCACAAAGGACTTGGTAAGACCGATAGGCATTTAGGCATTTTGTATGTGAAGCTCTGCTGAGCATAGGTGACAGATCATGCTTTCTTCCTCTTTATTTAATTTCCTTACTGTATCAGAGAACAGCCAGAGCACTTTTTCTCAAATTCAAATCCAGAGACCTAGTATAGTGCTTGTATTCTTTGGGTCTACTTTCTATAAGTGAATATTTACATGTATCTGTTGTTTTGTTCAACATTGGCCAGGACTTGAGAGTGTCTTAAAAAAGGACACATCTCACCAAATTTTTTATATTGTTTAAATTCTTAATGCCTATTTTTTTTCTTCTTATAAAAGGTATGGGATAAGGTTTAAGTTGTGAGTCAGCAAACTCTGCTTATTTGAGTGTGTTTGGAGGAACGAGGCTCATGTTCCTTTGCTGATCATCTAATTTGTATCATGTGGTTTGTTTTTTATTGACCTTCCCTTGACTTTATGTGAGAATAATCTTGTTTTCTAAAGTAAACAAAAATATCTACACAAGTAAAGCTGTTCTTTAAAGCTGAGAACCTGCAGTGTTTCCTCATATGTTCCTTGTTTTGGTTACTTAGTAGAAAATGCCAGTTCTTTCTTAGTTGTGCCATCTCAAATAATTTGTGGCTTACATTGAAGAGTGAGTTCTTTACCCATTACATGACCTGTTTGATGACAGTCGCCCAACATGTGTGATTTGTAGGGGCAGAGGAACCAGCCACTGCTGCAGTATTTAATATGTTTACAGGGCCTTTACTGGGATTGACACATATAAAAAAGGAAGTTCTACAAGCTACTAAGGGTAAAACGTGTGTTTAAATCCCAGCTCTAGAGTAGAATATTTTTCCCCTGAGCTTTTTAAAGCTACTCTTACTAATTTATCCAAGCTATTAAAAATATCCAAGCTAATAAAAATAATAAGCTATTAATAAAAATATATATTTAAATCAAGTAGTCTCTATATGTAGCACATAGTCTAAATTGGATGAGCTTTGAAAAGAGTAAAAAAATAATTTAGGTTGAAAAGGACCCGTAAGATCATCAAGTCCAGCCATTAACCTTGTACTGTCAAGTCCACTACTAAATGACCTCTCTATGTCTATACATCTTTTTTATAGAGATGCCTCCAGAGATGGTGACACAACTTCTTCCCTTGGAAGCCTGTTCCAATGCTTGACAATCCTTTTTGTGAGGAAAATTTTCCTAATACCTGATTTAAACCATCTCTGAGGTAATTTCTTCCTGTCCTGTCACTTGGAAAACAGATCATCTCCCACCTTGCTGCAGCCTGTTTTTTCAAGTAGCTGTGGAGAGATAGGAGGTCTCCCGAGTCTCCTTTCCTCCCGATGACACAACCCCAGCTCCTTCAGCTGCTCCTCATGAGACTTGTGCTTCAGACCCACCATTCTCCCAGCACCCCAGTGCTGGAACCATCTTCTTGTGAGGGCCCAGAACTGGACACAGCACTCAAGATGTGCCCTCACCAGTGCTAAGCAGGGAGGCAATCCCTGCCCTGGTTCTGCTGGCCACACTATTGCTGACACAGGCCAGGTGCCGCTGCCCTACTTAGCCACCTGGGCACACTCCAGGCTTGTGTTCAGTGGCTGTCAGCCAGCAGCCCCAAATCCTTTTTGCTGGACACTTTCCAGACTGCCTGGGGAGATGGTGGAATCACCAT